GGGAGCCATATGTACTACCTGCAATAGAAAGAAAACTTTTGGGAAAGTTTCATCGCGATAGCTTTCAAACTGAGGGACTAGTTCGCATAGAAACGGACAGACGAACAGACGGACAAACTGACAGACTGACAGACGGACAGACGGACATGGCTAGATGGACTCGGCTATTGATGCTGATCAAGAATATATATACATTATGTGGTCGGAAACGTCTCCTTCACTGCGTTGCAAACATCTGAGGGAAATTATAATACCCTCTGCAAGGGAATAAAAAATGGATTTTTGAAAGAGTGCCCCAACCAGAGTTTTTGAGATATTCTATATAAGTTAGGTTCAGACAGTTTCTACATTATTTCTTAACAAAATACATTTGGTTTCATTAAAATCGGATTTACACAGCGACCTGTGGATGATCCGCAGCTGGCCTACTTTTTTTTAAAAAAGGCCTGACAAAAAAATTCGGTAATACTATATATTAGCGGACTTACCCCCGAAATTTGCGAAAAAATTATCCTCGATGGACCGCGATTAAGAAATCGCCAAATTACGTGCAAAAAGAACTTGGCGGTCGGCCATGGTTCTCTTGTAATTAAATTAAAGTTCCCGGGTTTGCTATAAAAAACAAGGGTGCTTTTCTCATATTTTCAATTAAAGTAATTACGTTTTAATGAGTTCCTATATAATTAATATATTGTTTAAATGAGTTCCTATAAAATTATTTAATTGTTTAAATAAGTTCCTATAAAAAAAAATGTAGAATTTTTTTAATTTAAATAGTTTCCGCACCACCTTTGAGGTAAAGTTGCAGGTTTTTTCTTTAATAACCTTTTATGGCCTAGAAATCTCTTTGCTGAAGTATTCCCGAATAGGAAGTATTTGAAAGTAGTGCATTTAAAAAAGAAAGTAGCAAAAGAAACACTGCGCCGAAAGCAAAAAAAATTTAAGAAAAAAATGCGCGATTTTTTCTTTAAATTTTTTTTGCCTGCGGCGCATTTTTCCATATTCAGTATTAAACAAGTAATTTCAGCTAAATGATGGTTGTTGTGTCGCTCAGAAAAACAAATTCGGTAATACTATATATTAGCGGGCTCACCCCCGAAATTCGCAACAAAATTTTCCTCGATAGACCTCGATTTCTTAAGAATTTACGTGCAAAAAGAACTTGGCGGTCGGCCATGGCTCTCGTGTAATTAAATTTCAAAGTTCCCGGGCTTGCTATAAAAAACAAGGGTGGGTTTGGGTATTTGGGTAAATGGGTAAAAATTTACCTACCCAACCCGACCCCAAAATTTCGGGTCGTTTGGGTTTGGGTAAAATTTTACCCAAATACCCAAACCCAAACGACCCAAGTCAAATGGGTTTCAAGTAGATCAGTTCATGTTTAAGGTTACCCAAAGAAAAAAATTGATTTTTAAATAAGACGATGATGACAATTTTCACAGCTCATCGACCCGTCGCGAATTCTAAAGGTCAAGATTTGTTTCCACTTCTTTTGCCCATGCGAATTCTTTTGATCTTCAAATATTACAGATGTATGATCCACAGAAACATATTCTTTTGCTCTAAAGAATTCGCGGTTTTAGAAAAATAAATATGGAATATATAATTAGGTTTCTTAGTTAAGTTATGTATGATCTAGAGGCCTGCATGAATGTATTTATTTCAAAACTTACAGTACTGTACAGCTGTATACGGTACTCACATTTAGTGTACTCATACAATATAGTACAGAGTACCCACAATACCGATATTAACTGAGTACACTATTTTAGAGTTGCAACACTTTATTACAATTACTATTGTACAGTACTGTACTCTGAGTAGAAAAAAAAGTGTGAGAGTTGTCGGTAGCTAAATTGGAGAATGGATTTGCCTAATAATACGAATACCGAGTGCGATATTATTTCTTTGTTTGTTTTCTATTGCAAAAAATCGAATTTCCGAAAAGCGTTAAAAAATTGCTTCGACTGAAGACATGGTCAATAAACTAATGTTTCTCAATTCCAACATAGACAGCATTAATGAAAACGTCTTAAATATCAATTAATGTGTTAATAAATCCGTTAATATTTTATGACTAACGCCGCTTCGTTTCTTTCATTAAATTTTAAGTTATTATGTTAGTGGATAGATTACATATAAGCCTATATTAAGCCTAGTACTCAGTTCGGCTAAGAGTTTCACTAGTCGAAAAATCTTATTCTTTTGTAGTTTGACCGAAGTTTTCAGAGTTCAGCCGCTTTGCATGTAGCATGGTCTTATTGTAAACCAGCTGGGTTCACAAACGGCAAACAAATTAACTGGCGCCAATTTTAAAATATTACAAAATGTTGAGCCGACCTGGGTTGGAAGCTTTAAATTTGCTGTTGGCATGGAGATATGTGTTTCCGCAACTCCTACAGGCAGTTTTCCATTGGTTTTTAAGGTTTTCATTTTTAATTTCATTTATAATTTGTTATTGGCACACCGTTTCTGCACATACACAGCCAAAGATCAAATTTTTTATTCTTTGTCCCGCGGCTAAAGGCGTTCATCGGAGTTCATCCGCTAAATCTAGTATTTTTATGGTATTTTCTTACCGTTTCCTTAGCTCAACTGAGTACCGCGGTGAAAAAAGTCCCCGGCTAAAGGCTTTAGCTACCTATTTGCCTCTCGCTTACTCCTATGCTTAGCTAACAGTTCGTCGTACTGAGTACTAGGCTTAACAAAGAAATAAGCAAGCTTTAACATTTTATAAATTCAGTAGGCTTTGTAATTGTTGGAAATCTTTATTCACTGTACATGGAGCTATTGTACACCAAAAACCTGCATTCACAATATACTGTACTGTGTCTGGAAAAGTGAGTACAGTATTTGGCAATACAGTCACAAGTACTGCCTTCACTCAAAATTTAAAGTAATGAGTACAAAAAAAGTTATACAAGTTTTAAGAATGAGTGACTCATTTGTCAGTTTGAATGCATTCATGCAGACCTCTAGTATGATCCACACAAATAAATCCTCTTGTTCCTAAGAATGCGCCGTCATTGAAAAATCGATATAGAATATATCATTAGGTTTCTTTTGTCAAGTTATGTAATACATATGTATGATCCACACAAATATATCCTCTTAATCCTAAGAATTCGCGGTTTGTGAAGAATTAATAATTATAGAGCCAAGTATAGTATGCCTTAGCTAAGAAGAACACGGTCCAACCAATCTGAAGATCCTCCTGTTCTTAAGAATTCGCGGGTTGGAAGAATTAATATAAAATCTATGGAAGTTCTTAAATTAATCGATTTTTTCAAAAACCGCGAATTCTTAGGATTAAGAGGATATATTTGTGTGGATCATACATAACTTAACTAAAAAACCTAATGGTATATTCTATATCGATTTTTAAAAAACCGCGAATTCTTAGGAACAAGAGCATTTATTTGTGTGGATCATACATAACTTAACTAAGAAACCTAATAATATGTTCTATATTGATTTTTCAAAAACTGCGAATTCTTTAGAGCAAGAGAATTTGTTTTTGTGGATCATACATCTGTAATATTTGAAGACCACAAGAATTCGCATGGGCGGAGGATGTGGAAACAAATGTCGATATATTGTATCCTTTAATTTTAAATATTATACACTAATAACCATCTTGACCTTAAGAATTCGCGACGGGTCGATGAGCTGTGAAAATTGTGATCATCGCCTTATTTAAAAATCAATTTTTTTTTTTTTGGGTAACCTTAAACCTGAACTGTTCTACTTGAAACCCATTTGGCTTGGGTAGTTTGGGTTTGGGTAAAAATTTACTCACTTATCCCAATACCCAAACCCAAACGACCCAAGTCGAATGGGTTTCAAGTAGGTCGGTTGGTTTTAAGGTTTGTCGGGTCAGGTTACTTGTGCAGGGCTCTAATATAAACATTTTGGCACCTATGGAAAGAGTACTTCAATTCCGTTTAAATGACACAAAAATTTTCTTAACCCATTAAGCACCCTTTGAAAAGTGAGCAAATTAGACAATTTGTTTTGAAAGTCAAATTTTCAACTTTTTCCCTGGGTCTTAAGACAAAAATGTTTTGATGCAAAGATGTTCCCCAATAAAAATTAATAATAACTGCAAAAAAAAACAAGAAAGGAAGCTACCTTCGGCCAGCCGAAGCTTATATACCCTTGTAGATAAAAGAATACTCACTCGGTGCAGTTCCAGGGATTCCAGATTCAGCGTTTCGATTTATTTCAATTTTGTTTTTAAGTAGTCAAGAATAAAAACGCCTACTTCCTACAAAGTTACAATGAATTTTCTTATATTTGTTTGGGAGCCTTAAGATATAGTGGTCCGATCCGGCTGGCTCCGACATATGTACTACCTGCAATAGAAAGAAGACCTTCGGGAAAGTTTCATCGCGATAGCTTTAAAACTGAGAGACTAGTTCGCATAGAAACGGACAGACGGACAGACGGACAGACGGACAGACGGACATGGCTAGATAGACTCGGCTATTGGTGCTGATCAAGAATATATATACTTTATGTGGTCGGAAACGTCTCCTTCACTGCGTTGCAAACATCTGACTGAAATTATAATACCCTCTACAAGGGTATAAAAAGTTCAAAATATTTTTCCTTGTATTTTTTATGATTTTTTGAAAATAGCTTTTTTAGCCGCTTTTTCTTCCTTTTCATACAAAATTTTACTGAGATGTCTCCATTCAACGGGTTAAGAACATTTTTGTGTCATTTAAACGGAATTGAAGTGCTCTTTCTATAGGTGCCAAAAGTTTATATTATAAGTTCAAAATATAAGTACAGTTAACATTAACATTTGTGAAAATACTTTTGACCACCCCTGTATCTCCCCCCTTAAAGGGATTTTCCACTTCCTTTGAACGAATTTTCTTTTTTCTAGCTTCGTACTCCTAAAAAAAATGGCTGCAGGCCAAAATAGCGTAAGATTTCACCAAAAATATTGAATTACTTTTAATATGTATCCATCCATGTTGTTTATCCCGCAGCTGTCGGTGCAAGCTGAGCTTCAGATATATGAGGAGCTTCAACTGATGCCTACCAAGGTTGTGCTGCCTTACGATCCAAATAGCTTGAAGCCGTTGAAGATGCAGTTTCGTGCTTCTGGCGGCGACTACAACTACGTATGGTTTTCTGGAAACCCGCAAGTCCTGCAAATTGATGCTCAGGGCCTGGCTACAACTGAAATACGAGACGTTCGACCATCCCTCGTATCTCATGAACTTCTTGAGGATGGAAGTTTGCTAAACGGCCATACTACCGTAAAAGTGGCGCTGGCCAAAAACCAGAAAATCTCTCGTCTTGCACAAATCTACTTCTTGGCCCCAAACCGCCTACAGATTAAGCACAGTAACTTTGAGACCGCTCTGAAAGACTACGTGCATGTTCATGTGGGTGTGTATGCGCGGATTAACAATTCAGACGTTCCCTACACGAACTGCGACAGCTTGCAGTTTCAGCTTGATTTTAGCGAGCACATTCTACAGTTGGAGGGTAACGAGGGGCCTGAGGAAACGGTCAGTGAAGCATGTCATGTGCTGCGGTTGCGGGCCACCGCCGTGGGGAGTACTTCACTACGCGTGTCGTATATGTTCCAGGACAAAGTTCTTCACGACAGCGTTGAACTATACGTCTTCGAGCCATTGAGCGTGCTTAATCCCCTCGACAACGAGGTTGTGCTTCCCGTCGGATCATCTCGAAATATTATCTACACTAACGGACCGCAGCGTATTTTTACAGTTGCGGCGGAGCTCACAAAGTCTACTGCATTCGACAACAGGGTAATCAAGGTGTCTGAGGTAAACTTTGATACACAAAATGCTATTACCGCATTCACCGTGTTATGTCGCGAACTAGGCGAAACGCTGTTAGCTTACCAAGTGCATAATATCCTAGACACGCCTAGTTTTGCAGTCTATCGCTCAAAGGTGACCACCAAAGTGCATTGCGTGCGTCCGCGCTTCTTAAAGCTCTATACTCGACACAACCTTCGTGAGTCCTGTCCACTAGAACAACGCTCTTCTCTGCTTTTCCTAAAAGACCGCGAAAACAAGTTTGAGATTGAAATTGAGGTGCAGGATTCAAGTAATCGTAGGCTCATGAATGTCAGCTCTCTATGGCTGGATTGGGAGTTTACCGCGGGTGACGAGCGCTACCGTAAGGACAATATTCCACATCGTCAGATCTCTGAGGTACAATTCATTCACGGAGTAAGCCTGCCGAACCGTGATCTGCTCGTCCTGACATTGAGCGACGTAGCGCCCAACATACGCATTAAGGGCATCGTGTCTCAGTATAACGACAAGCTCCTTTCCCAACAAAATATATTCGCAGAACGTCCTCCGTTTGGAATCAAAAATGTAAGTAATTATATTCGACATTATTTAGCGCTAAATAGATTTTGTAGTATTGCTTCGCGGCTTAAAAAATATAACTACCTCTGTTCAGTTAATACACAAAAGTTCTCGTTTTTAATATTTATTTAGCGTTTAAAGCGTCTATTTTTCACCACTTTTGTCTTCACATTGCACACTGGGCCAGCCGATCCGATTTTTGGCCAAAAATACGATTTTTTTTAAAGAAAATGCCAATGTAAGTTTGAATTCCTTTTCATAATACATTAAACTAATTTATGCCAGAGTTTTAAAGAATTCGGGCAGGTCGATTTCTTTTACCGTAATTTTAAAGTGGGAAATTGATCAAATACACTGTGCAGCATTTTTAGTGCTTTTTAAATTTACCTCGATGGATGCTATATTTTTGGATTCGTTACGAATTCCCAAGTTAAACTGCGTTTTCCAAAAAGTTCCCCGACGCAAGGATTCTTAGCAAAAGGACCTCAAAGTTCGAAAAATGCTGAAATTGGCCAACTTTGCGGAGCTCTCAGAGGCAAATAGATGCATGGTTTGATTCGATGTTAAAGTTTTTTAAAAGATACACACTTTATCTTTTAATCGGAGCTTAATTGGGCTGTTGTTGCTTGATGCAAAGTTGCTAAACTAAAATCGTTGTATTTACTAGTAGGCCTTGCAAATACAAAAATTTTATTTTACCACTTCGTGAAGAATTGATGAAGCAATATGAGGATAATTTTTTTATTCGAAAACCGCGTGTATTCCGGCGTACAGAATTTTTTAAAATTTAAATTCTCTTAAAAAATACTTAATTTTAAAATTAAAAATTTTTAAAATTATTTTTCTGAAAGACATGAACATATCCCACAAAGTTGCATACCAAATATTGAAATAACTCAAACGAGTCTCAAGTGATGCATAACTGAAAAATCGGAGCTTAATTAGAAAATTATTTTTTTTAAATAAACGGTAAGAGTTAAAAAAAAAAATAAAAACCGATCCTTATATTTCAATCCTCTATTGAAAAAAAAAGTTTCGATTGATTCTGAGATTTGACCCAATTTGGCCTGTCACGTTTCACGTGGAATGAGCCTAATGGAAATTAAAAAAAATCTTGAAGCCAAAGATGCTGATATAGCGGTTCGACTTTTCACGAAACTTGTAGATGTGATTACTTTCAACAAAAAAAAAAATATAATATAGGTCGTATGTGTTACTTGTTTCCTAAAATAAATCTATTTTTTTATTTTTACGGTGTTTTTTAGCAAATAAGTACGTTGCTTTTCAAGCGCCTTTGAGTGCCATCCCCCCAAATTAGTTCATTCCTTAAAAAAAAAAAAATTGTTGATCACATTACTAAAAGCGTACACTCGATGCGGTTTTGCCTTAGTTTTCGGTAATTAATGTTTTAATTGAAGACTTAAATCGAAGTCGAGCCATTTTGAAGAGCTTAGCTAAGAGAGCCCAAAAGTATGCCGTACTTTTTTTTCTTCATTTGATTTTAGTGTGACTAACATCTAAAATCTACTTTTTACGTACACTAATCGATCATGGTATTTTCGAAATCTATATAGTTTAGATCCGAAAACTATTAAACAGGAAATTACAGCGCAGAGGCGAAATGCCCGGCAGTGGGATTAAGGGATTTATGGGAGGACTTAAGTATGCCCAAAGGTATGCAGCATTTCTTGTACTTTCTTATACTTCTTACAGATGAGAACTAAAATATGACTTATCTGGACTATGCAAATATAAATGTAGCATACATTTATTATGACTTCAGCATATGTCCAATTAACATTAAACAAATTAAAAAAAATATTTTTAAATCAATTTTTTTTAAATAATTTGATTATAAAAATCTTATGTGAAAACAAAAAAAAAAGAAATAGTTTTTAAATAGATTGTTTGATTAACGTTGATGTGGGAGCCTCCAAAAGTTGCGGTTTTTAACGGTTCATAAATCTTAAACGACATAATATTTTTTGCGATGTTAATTTTTTTTAGTTTGTTTTATCTCATGCTTTATCGTGAGTGAAAATGGATTAAGTGCGCCTTCTAGTTATTTTTTTAAAAATAATAAACCGAAAAAAACGTATAATTTTCCGACTTTGGTTTGGATTATCATATAAAATTACAAGAAATTTTACTTTTAATTCGTTGAAAAGTTCAATCTTTTAAGAAAAAAACGCAAAAAAATGCATCCTTCTAACTGTCCTAGAAAAGAGATTACAGATTTTTGGCTAAAAAATTAACTTTCTGGTCCAGTGTGCATTGCCAGTATGACCAGCTCATTACAAATCAAATTTCTTTCCTTTTCATTGCGAATCAAAATACCGAAAATAGTACATATATTTATACCCTTGCAGAGGGTATTATGATTTTAGTCAGAAGTTTGCAACGCAGTGAAGGAGACGTTTCCGACCCCTTAAAGTATATATATTCTTGATCAGCATCACTAGACCAGTCGATCTAGCTATGTCCGTCTGTCTGTCTGTCTGTTTTTACGCAAACTAGTCTCTCAGTTTTTGAGCTATCGGGACGAAACTTTCCCAAAAGTCGTCTTTCTATTGCAGGTAGTATATAAGACGGAACCGACCGGATCGGACAACTATATCTTATAGCTCCCATAGGAAGGATCGGAAAAAAAACGTTAAAAAATTCTATCTTCGGTGTTTATTAAAATACTCGTAGAGTAAAAGGGTATATTGTATTCGTGCAAAAGTATGTAACAGGGAGAAGGAAGCGTTTTCGACCCTATAAAGTATATATTTTCTTGATCAGGGTCACTAGCCGAGTCGATATAGCCATGTCCGTCTGTCCGTCCGTATGAACGCTGAGATCTCGGAAACTACAAAAGCTAGAAGGTTGAGATTTTCCACACATATTCTTGGGCTTCCTACGCAGCGCAAGTTTATTTTAGCCGAGCGCCACGCCCCGTCTAACGCCCTCAATCGCCCACTAACAATTTTAAGATGTGTCTGGCGCCCACACTTTTAAAGATTTCCGAGAAGTATGAATGCCATTTTGTTGTGTATAATTATACCTATCAAAATGTAGAAGACATTCATTAAAAAGTTATACGCAATCGAAAAAATGTTATATATCCATCTCCCTCGCACTTCCTTTAGCCGAGTGACGGGTATTAGGTAGTCGGGACACCAACCCGACTATAGCGTTCTCTCTTGTTTTTTATATTATTCTGAATTTGGAATTACATATTTAAAAAATCATATAGCTGCCATAGGAACGGTCGAAAAATTAAATGAAAAAAATTATATTATATAAATTATCTATTACATTCTCTTCTACTCTGGGATATGAGTATTTTTAAATATTTCCGAATTTCGATTTTAATTTTAAAAAGATCGGACTACTATATTATAAAGCTGCCATAGAAACGATCGGAAAATTAATGTGAAATTAATAAAATTTAATGTTTTTGCAATTTGTAAATTAATAGGAATGATCTGCAAGGGTATATAATCTTCGGCTTGCCGAAGCTAGCTTTCTTTCTTGTTCTTAAATTAAATACCAAATCCTTACATCCTCCCTCCCCGTGAATCGTCCTAGGATTCACCACTTAACTGAAGTTTAATTAACTTGGATGTTGGTCGACGTAGCACGCTGTCTTCAGTTTTGACTTCAGCAGAACGAACTTGTTGATCCTTCCCGACAAACACCTTTATGATTCTTCCTTTTTTCCAAGTACTTCTCGGTGAAGTGGCGTCCATAACAAGTCCTAAGTCGTCAACTTGAAATGGGGTTGTCTTCTGATGCCATTTAGTTATACACATAAGTTGAGGGAGATATTCGACTATCCACCTCTTCCATAAGCGATCCTTAAGGGCTTGAGTGATCCTCCATTGCTTCCTTAGGCAAATAGCTTCGTTCGGTGGTTGTGGGGTTTGCGTTGAACTTGTACATTCCATTAGAAAGTGGTTCGGTGTCAAAGGCTCTTCTGCCCCATGTGTTAAGGGTATTTCAGTTAAAGGTCGCGCATTTAAAATGTTTTCCGCTTCTATCAATACTGACTGTAGGGTCTCAACTCGTGGGTAAATATCGCGTAAAGTTTTCTTCAACAATCCCTTTATGATTTGAATTAACCTTTCCCAACACCCACCGACGTTAGGTTGAAGTGGGCAGTTAAAGATACACTTATACACCTTTGAGCCGCTTCGTCCGCTATGGCACCGAAATCCAACAAACTGTCATGATCCTTGAGCTCCTTATTAGTACATATGAAATTTGTTTATCATTGGGCCCAAACTCCGATTTACCCTTTCTACTTGGCCATTGGCTTGCGGAGATCCCGTTGCAATTTTAACATGTTTTATACAAAGTTTATTTAAAAATTCCGCAAATTCTTCTGATGTGAAACAGCTACCCCTGTCTGACACAATGCATACTGGTCTACTATAAGCACGAAAATAATCTGATAAAGCTACTATAACTTCTTTGGTCTTTGTTGTCCTCGTCGGATACAGTCTTATAAATTTGGTCAACCCATCTATAACAACAAACAAATGCTTCTGAGATCTTCCTGCATCAATTGGTCCGCAATGATCTATGTGTACGAATCGCTTAAAATAATTACAGGTGTACTCTTACGCAGCTAGTTCAAGACGAGTTGCTCTGCATGTCATGCAAGTAAAGATAATTGCATAGCGCTTTTCGTGGCGGCGACCGACTGATACGGTTAGTGGACCAAACAAATCCACCTCTGTATGTGTAAATGGCCTCCTGTAGGGAGTCAGCCGATCGGGTATCAATTGACCCATCTGTGGGGTTTGCGGTAATCCTCGGTATATGATACATCTAGAACATTCGCGCGTTACTTTGTTGAGCAATTTCCTGGCGGGCGGAATACAAAACTTTTGTCGACTTTCGTTGATTATAACCGCCTGATTTAGATGATGATATTTTACATGAAAGTATCTCATGATGAGGGTGGACACTTTGTTTTGATTCCTCGGAAGTAGAATAGGTCGTCGTCTCGAGCTCGG